GTATTTTCTTTTTGTTGAACATACACTTACTTGTACGTGATCTACAGATGAATGATGGAATAGTGTAATTTACTTCTGTACGTCAATTCTCTCGAAATAAATTTTCGACACTTATTTATACACTGACAAAGGTCTAATACATTACTAGCTGTTACGATGCAATAATACTCAGTTAAAACAACGAGAAAAATTTAGAAGGTTCTAATAACAAGACGTAATAATATAATAATCACAAACTCATAAATAGTGAACTACACAACTATGATTCGTAAACAGTTGCATAAGCAAACTTGCGATAAACTATCGCTTTTAAAAATAACTAAATTTAACATTCGCTACGCTATATAAACTGTCCAAATCATAACACTAGCATTAAGCTTAAACTGAAACAGTCGTGTATATCTAACATTTTTAAAGTGTAAAAATATTATTACTTATATAAAGTTAGTGTCTGCTTTCCCATGTTGGAAAGCATCCGAGATGGTAAATTACTAAAGCATTTACTATGTAACCGTGAAATGTAGTAGTGTAGAAGTAATGTTTACATCCCAAATTATTTTACAAATGCTATGATTCAGTATGTATGAATATTGGCCATTAACTGAAGAAAACATTGCAATTGTATTGTAATGAGCATAAATGCTACTGTTATAAATATTGTAAACTTGCAGTAATTAACGTAGTAACACTGGCATGAGCTGGTGGTTAAGGCGCTCAATATGCAAGTCTTAGGTTCGAATCTCCACCACCAAACATGCTCGCCCTTTGAGAATGTTGTCAGGGCCAGCTACCCGAGTGTAAACATTCTTTGTTAAGATAAAATGCCCGAGAGACTCCAAAACTAGGTTGTATGAAGAAGAGTACTTTTACAGTGGTGTAATAATTTATAGTCAACCGCAAAAATACAATAAAAATTACAAGTTAACCGTATTTTTACAGTAATATGGTACTGTTACGCCTCCGTTCGTTAGTTAATTTTCCGTAAAAATTCTTTCCGAAGAAACTTTACCGATACAAATCCTTTCTTAAATAAAACTGGTTTATTATTTCTGAATACAACTTTGCAATACACTTAATTTCAACAGTC